CAGATGTGCGGTAAATGGAAATGTGTGATTTTCAGATTGAAATGAAGATTGTAAGTTTGCGTGTGAATATGAATTTGAGAGGAATAGTAGGGGCGAGTTTGAGTGGGATTGAAAGTTGAAGTTGGAGTGGGCGGATGGTATGTTTAAGTCTAAGAGGAGGGTGGGTTGCATGTGCCTGGATCGCGCTTGCACGACGCAAGTGCATTTCAGTTGCGGTGGCAACGAGGACAAAACTGTGACCCAATTTGGAATAAGAAGAAGCATCTTGTCCGCCAGCACAAAGCAAAGTCTTTGGCGTCGACCACCCAAAATCGCAAGTTTTGATCGTCGAAACGAATTAAGTCAGCTTTACTAAAGGCTTCAATGGCTGCATTTTAGACTGTTGTTGACAGAAATGAAGCCATTGGCATCGTAGATAAGCGGGAATCGAGCAACGGTGCTTGTTTTCATCCGTTTTTCCACACAATTGCAGCCTAAAGCTGGCTTCGCGCAGACGATTTGCAGCGGCCATATCTCGCGACTTGACATTTTAACGCACCGAAAGAGACTTTGGTCCATGCTTGCCTCCACGTTGTGGAGTACTTCACTTTTGTTCAACTTATTTCCATTTTCATTTCGAGTGAAAGTGTTGCGTGAAGAGATTCGAAGCTCGCTTCCACCAGAAAACGACCAGCAACGGATTACTCTTGACCACCTGTCGATTGGCTTTACTGCGGCTTTCTTGTTGACGCTGTTTCCGAGGCAACCTCCTTCGATTCCGGTGAAAAGGTGCCAAGCTTTCGTCCTTCACATGACGAACATCATCACAGCAAACCAACATCGTCACAACCAAATTCAAGCCAACGAGGCAAGAAAACTCTGATGATGTTTGTCACATGACGGACGAAAGGTCAGCACCTTTACACCGGAATCGAAGAGATCATACTTCAGAGACGACAATAATCCCCAAAAGCAGAATCACAATTACAGTTATCATCAGCATTATCACCATATTCATCATATTCACCAACCATCACCATAATTATCATCATAATCATTTTCCTAATTACCAATATCACCAACACGATCGTCATCATCATCATCATCATCATCATCGTAATCTTTTATACCATCCTTCTCCGCCTCTTCCTCCTCTTCCTCATAATCACAATCAGTATAGCCATAATCATAATCAAAATAATAAACAACATCTTCACCATCATCATATTCATCACCATCATCAGTACCATC